AAATTTTAACATACAGTTACAGATACCTAGGGCTGTCCCTAAGGTATTCACTGCCTGAGGCGATGTGCTGTCATTGGGTGGCAGGAGTTGCTGGCAGCGAATGGTCACTACAGAACTGTCAGCAGCCCTGTCCGGCATCCTGCCTAGAACTGTAGGATGCAAGCCAGAGCGTCCTGGCCCTGGCAACCGGTGACATTGGTGAGCAGGGTGGGAAGTTGCACAGAGCGTCACTGGTTGCAAAGAGCTCTTAACAACATGGGATGCTGTGGCCGCCCCATTTCCCCAATGAGGTGTCTCATTATAGGGACAGGGCTGCAAATACCCATCCTCAGTTAGATGGCTAGGCCCTCAATTAGTTAGTGAGGCAAAATGTATCATGAAATATACTGCAGTATAGAGAACAGAAACAACCGCGAAAATAATGCAGAATTAGCTGTTCTGATTTAAAAAGGCATGCTATATGCTTTTATGTAGATGTTCTGTGCACGTCATGTGTTTTTTTTCCGGCTGGTCAGATGTTGATGACTTCCTGTGAAATTGTTGTGATCTCAGATGTCCTCAGACTGGCTTGACTTTCTTTAGTTTTTCTTTCTTTGAGTTACTTTAGTCACCAATGTCACAATGCCACATAAAAATAGATATAAAAAAAGCAATTACAAATCAACCAAGAAGCCCTTTTGAATCACATTTGCCATTTTAAAATGTATCTTTGCACCCCATTGCAGGTCTTATTTAAACCTCATATCTAGAGTCTGGGGTTCTCTTTGAAATGAAATGTGGGAAGTCATAATCCCAAGATCAATACAGCTCTCAATCTTTAATGGTCCTCAGAAGGTTGAGGATGCCTATGATCTAGCAAGGGATTTAAAGGCTAAGCTTACTTTACTAATGTTTTTTTATATTAACACTTCACACTAACCGAGTTACACCCATATTTAAAGGAGAGTTTTCTCAATACTCAGACACTACAGCTGTCACACACCGTCTCTATACTGAGAGCTGAGGGATCATGTAATCACTGATTGCTAAGCTCACAGTCTTCTCCCTGTAGAGCAGTGTTTGTCAGTTACCGCCCCCTGCAGGGATTCCCCCGTCCCCTCTCTGTTCCTCCAGTGCTCATAAGAGGGGCAGACAGGGGAAGGGGCGGGCACAGCTGGCCCTGGCTCTAGAGAAGCTTCCTTCCAAGCTGCAACGCGGCTCTGTGCTATGAGCAAACAGTGGGTTGTAGCCCAATATATGCTGACTTTGGCCAAAAGAGAGATTTGGCTTTACTTCTCTTTTAAGGTGTAAAGGTGGCCATACATTGTATGATTTTCGTTCGAAATATTTAGTTTCTGGCACAAACCCTTGTTCAAATATGCCTGGACTTCCCCATCAAGCATAGTCAAGTGTCAATTTTGGGAATCGTTCGCTAGCCATACTAACCAACCAATTTGACGAACAACGGAAAAACATTTCTTTTTTGCATGTGCTGTGTTCTTGCAGAGGGTTGACGAACAAAAACACCACCAATTCATCAATGTGATGTACCATCAACAGTTCAACTTTCGTTCGAAGGACCATTCGTGTACAATTTCCCCCATTTCTTATCACACTTTTCTGTAGAATCTTTTTGACTAAAGATGTAATGTTTGCTTGTTCGAATATGTTGAAAAAGTCAATTTGTCACATGATTGTACAAACCTTCACTCTCAGAGTAGCCATGTTGAGAGATTTTTTGCAGTGGTAACTCACTAAACAGTGCTGTCATTGCCTAATTGCATGTAGCTTACCCCCTCGATTTTAAGGATTTAAAGTGACCCGAAACTCAGGGTTTAAATCTTGAAAATGCATTCAAGTACCTGAACTATTAACAAAAATGATTCTTATACAATAATCTCAATACAAATCAGTAAACTAAACATGAGATTGTAGTCCATCACAGGAGTGAGCTTGGAGCGGTGACTACTTTACAACACACACAGAGACCATGGGGAACAAAAGTAGCCACCCTCCAGAAGGAAGGACAGTGTCAGCACCAATTCAGAGATGATTTTAGGATCTGCAGCCGAATGATACACAAAAAAGCGAAATTTTTGTTAATAGTTAACTCATGAGTCTAGTGTCACTTTTAATTAAGCCCATCAGATGTTAAACACAGTGTAAGCTAACAATACTGCTGAAATAAAAGTACTGCCTGTGTCCCTCCAGAGCCCCCTGGAGTCCAGATCTAGACTGTAAGCCTGCTCCCACCATTCAACAGTCCGACATCAGAAGTTCTAGCTGCCACTTACTCTAAACCCTTGGTTCTCAACTGGTGGGTCGTGATCCAAATGTGGGTCACGGCCCCATGTTCATTGGGTTGCTGTATGTCTCCCTCTTTTCTAGATGAGAGCCTCCTCAGCCTCCCCCTAGCGCAGCACTGTCAGTTCCCGTGCCAAGCAGTCATTCGGAATATGCTGCCCAGTGCCGAGTGTCAGCTTAGGGTGGGATAGGATGGGGCTATGGCCGTGAGGGAGCTCCATTGATACACGCATTGCTTATAGCTCCCTCGTGCCCTATAGAGGTGCCTGGAGTAGAGTGACGTCACATTCTGGCTCCTGGCACCTCTACAGAGCACACAAGGGAGCTGTACAAGCAATGAACATATGGATGGAGCTCCGTCAAAGCACAGCAGCCCACATTGGACCCCAGGCTGAAGATCCACTCCAGTTCTCATAAGGTAGGGAGACTGGGTGAACCTTAAAAAAAGAAAAAAAAAATTAAACATTTGTTTGGAGTGTGTATATGCGTGTCAGAATGTCTGTGAGTGTGTGAGATTGTGTCTGTGGTTGTGTACGTATGTCAGTGTTTTTGAGGGCCTGTTCACACTAGTACAGTGCATTAATTGCACAGTCCTGCGCGATTAACGCATTGTACCACGCAATCACACCTACTACGTGTTCTGGTGTTGGAGGTATGTTGGGTTGCCATTCATTTGAAAAATACCCCAAACGCACCTCCCACCCACAGTTCAATAGCCCGCACCGGGATACGCAGTTCCGCAATGCCGTGCTTTCCCTTGCAGCGACTTAATGACCAAGGACAAGTGTGGGTCCTGGGGTTGCACAGGTTAAGAACCACTGCTTTAAGAAGGTCTCAGAATTGTTTTTACTCAGTTGCCAACTACTTGGCAATGGCCACTACTTGGGTGCCCCTTAATTAATGTGGTACTCCAATGCAAATAAGCCCCCCGGCAGACCACCACAACCAATGCCCCAGGGCTTGTAGGGAAGATGCCCATGACCGCATCGGCATGGGGACAAGGTGCCTTTCCCGGGGGGACCCTGGAAAAGCACCCTCTCAGTGCCAAGGGCATGTGGCCTGGTATGGCGGGGGGGCGCTTGCTCTTCCGCCCCACCCCCTTACCTGCCCTGCCAGGCCTATGCTTGGATCGAGGGTCTGGTTGGGAATTGTAGGGGGGACACCACACTTTTTCCCCCTATTTTGGGGGGTGGGGTTACTCCTTAAAATTTCTACCAGTCCTAAAGGGTCTTTTTTTTTTTACTTGGGGTCTCTCCTAACTTTCCTACCAGACCTAAAGGGTCTGGTATGGTTTGGGAGGGAGACCCCACGCTGCTTTTTTTACTAGATGTTTTATTATTGTCTTAACTTTTTTTTTTTACATTTATTTAAATTGTTTTTTAAAATGTTTTGGTTTTGTTTACATTTTTTTTATTCTCCTTGTTCCCTCTGAGGTAGCGTGCAGAATAGCTGGGCCAAATGCCACTTGGTGGCATTCGGCTATTCACTCACTGCCGTTTGGCCCCTATGTGAATGGCAGAAAGTGAACTGCTGGAGCTTCTGCTCAGCCGATCCAGATCTGAGCATGTTCGGCTGACCGAAGTCAATGTACTGCTGATTTTAGCCGATGTACGTCCAGCCGTACAGAGCCGAAGTGAAAAGCCGAACGTCGTTCACTTTGGCTCAGTTATTCACTCAGCTGCCTTTGGCAGCTGAATCAACAACCACCTTAGTATCTCTGAGTAGAATACAGTAGTCTCCTCAGGGATACTTTGTATCACTTCTGGAACACACAGCCAGCAACCAGTGTACAAAACACAGCAAACTGCGGCAAGCTCTGTGACGGGATAATCCCGTCATCAGTTGGGAACTGGTTATTTTAATTGCTGATTAAATCATCTACAATATATGCTGCTCCTCGATATTTAACATTTTAGTTTCCTAGAAAATCAGCTAGTCCCCTGAGCACTAGTTGTGATATCATGTTTAGGGTGGCTCCCCTCTCTTGCAGGTTCCCATGCAGCCACCCTTGTCTGTGCTGTTAAGCTGCTTGTGTTTCCACAAACACATGCACAGCAAGGCAATGCAATATTTTGTTCCCTGCTTCTTCATCCCTCCTCCCTTCTTCAAGCTAGTAGATGAATAGTGTGGAGACTGCACTGTCCCTTGTGATAATGTACAGGAAGTTCAGGGAAGCAGAGCCGGGGGAGTTGGAAGCAACTGTTTGGAGACAAGATAAGTGCTTGGGTGAAAACATAAATAAATACATAGCTGGGCAATTTATATTTGTTTTATTAAAAAACAAAGTTTCACAGTCTAATTCTACTTTAACCTAAGTTTTTCTAATATAGTCTGGATGTTTTTTTTACTTTCATTAAAACAGAATTCGGGGATTTTGTACGTTTGGATTCTGTAAAACAGAATTCCCCTCTCCAAACTGTTTTCTATAAATAAATGCCACAGTTGATGAAGAATGGGTGTACACGTGTACCTATAGGCTCATTATGTGTGCATTCAGCATACTGCTGACCATGATTTAGGAATGCAGAAGCATTTGCAGTCAGGTAGTGTGTGTAATGAGCGCATTGTACAGAGGAAAGGCTGTATGTCACTCCCTCCATTTCATGTGACCCATAACAGCCCTCCCCGGTCTGTAGTATACTAATCATGGCTGAGTGACAGAACACAAAAAATCTCACCCAGCTGCAGAGATCCTCCCACTATCATGCAGCCTCCTCTCTCATCATCGGTGGGTCACAGCTTATTTGCAGGCAGAAACCAACTTCAGATCAGCTACTCTCAACTTTTCCCAGCAGCTGAATCACAAATTCTCCCTCCTTCCAGAGCAGATCATATGGATGAGTAAAGTATAGCAGCCCAGACCTATCCGCGCAGATCTTCCCTTCAGTCCTCAACTGTCACTATGGACATCACATGGAGAGTTTTGCATCTCTTTCAGCTTTGCCTGATCTTTCATATTTGGCTGCTGAGCAACTGCCACTTGTACAACAACCGCTATGATGGGTAAGATACATATTTCATGGAAATGACTGAACACTGCTGCTTTTCATTTGTTTGCACTACTTTCTTAGGACAAGCTATTTCATATTGTATCAATAACGTATTAACTATGACCTAGTATCGCACATTTTGGCTGCCTCATGGCATATAACAGTATTTCTGATCATGACAAAAGGAAAAGTAAATGGTTGCTCTTCAAACAAACAACAATTTACCTACCACAATTGTAAATTCTTACTTTCAATGTATATGTTGTTTAATTTCAGCATTACACTAAAAAAATGTATTCCTCGAGCACTATTAATCCAAATAGTTTACAATGGGACCTTTTCCAGCATGCTAAATATTTTCAATAACATACATAATATATTTGTATTGCTTCTCAGTACTTATCACCCATATACTGGCCTGTTATCTCCATTGACACCCATATGACATGGGGTGATCGATGGAATCACTTACTTGCAACTTCAATCATTATATAAATATTGATAAATCAAGAAGATTATTCTCCTGTGTTGTTTATATAAGATGTTTTATTGAGGGAATGACACTAAGGCATGTTAGTGTATTGTGTTTCATAACTTTATGGTACTTGAGGGAATTAAGAGCATGACCTAAATCCTTAAGCTTTGTTAATTTGTTGATTTGCCATTTTTAAAATTGGTTGCGGTGTTACTAGGTCAAAAGACTAGAAGAACGAATGATTAGCTGACAAATGTAAAACACGATTCCTGTATATCTAAGATCTGCAGTACTGGTAACACTGAACATAGATTTAACTAAAGCACCGCGCAAACTGTTGGCGCTATATAAATCCTGTATAATAATAATAATTTATCTATAATTAGTTTGGAGCTCCTATTTCATTTAGAACCGAGAATCATGTAAAAAAAACTAACTATCCAAACAAGGCATTGACTCTCTAAGCGCTAAATAGATTGGAAAACATTTATAACAGGAAATGGGATCAAGTTTATTGAAAAAGTTAATAGAAGCAGATAAAGACCCAACAAACTTGGTTCCTCCTATGCTTTGGAGACTAGTGGAAGATTTATCAGCAACACATCTGCATTGCATGTGCATCTCTGTCCCCCAAAACGACCATAACCAAAGCATTACTCTCTCACAGCTGGACTCCTCAGTTATAAGTATTTTTCTACATTAATATCCACCCGGGGATGGTATCACCAACATGTGGCTGTGTAGTTACAATGCCAGTAAGGGGAAGTGGGAATTCTGGTAAATCTGCAGCACACGCTTCAAAAGTTTAACACAGTTCTATGTATGTAAACACAGAGAACAACTTGTGTAACATATGGAATGAACAGCCAATACAGACAGAGAACTCTTGTCTTTTGTGGTACAAAACAAGAAAACATATACTTAGCTTGCCATGTATAACAAACCACCCACAATAGAACAAAGCTACATTTTAGGAATGCACAGACTGACAAAAGGCTAACATAATATTCTAATATTCAACAAATATCAGCTATAATCTGATCTATGCCCAAAATAACAGCTCTGTCACATACATACAGTTAGTTAACCATCAATCACATTTTAATGTGCCATATAAAAAGTTTAAAAATATCAAAGGCTTTAAAGAACAACTCTGGCTAAAACATTGTTTTGGATGAAATAAACGGAAACTAATAATGTTTTCATTAGTTTCGTCATTTTTATTTTTGCTATTTCATATTCAGCCACCGGTACGTTCTGCGCATGCGCACCACCATCCTGGAGGCGGGGCACATGATGTTACATGACGCCGCATGTTCGCGGTGTCGGGTGACATCATATGCCTTTGGGGGAGCACAACTTTCTGTTCTTGCCTCGGGCACAAAAAGAGCTAGCTACGGCTCTGCTATTGGGCTAATTTTATTGTGCATTATGTCCACTGTCATTGACAATTACAGTGTGCCACTGTATTGGAAGTTAGCATTCCTGACAAAAAGTTGGTGCAGAACATATAGCTTTTGGCACCATGTGAAGGTACAATTCTTCATCTTTTCCATGCACAGGAATGTTATGTCTTTATCTCTGTGAAGCCCTGCCTCAAACCCCTATATGAAATGGAATTTAAAAATGGAAGTCGGTTTCTCTAGAGCCTGACATCTTGACAATTAAACCTTTGATTACCTTTTCAAAAACAAGCACTCAGCCAGTACAATCTAGTTAAACTCTCTAGTCTTTGACCTTAGTCTTTCACCTCAGGGTACAAAGTAGAAGAAACTTCTAAGGTGTTAACTAGAGTTCATAATACATGTCTTCTAACTATTTCTATCAATCATTTAAGTAGCACCTTCATGTCCCATGGCACTTTATGAAGTAAGAGATAGAAAGAGTAGTAGGTAATGCAAATAATACATGTAGAGTACATGTTTTCAAAGATAAGTGCATACAGATTCAAAGAAAAACATAGAAATTGAAATACAATAGAAACCATACTTACAAAAGGTTACAGTCTAGGTCAGTGGAGGTCAATTTCCTTAATGTAGGGGGTCAACTGTGGCCAGGACCGGATTTACTCTCCCTGCTGCCCCAGGGCCAGGTTCCTCAATGCGCCCACCTCAATGCCTCCCCCCCACCCATGGAGAATGCCAACCAGATAGTGGGGGCGGCAGGGTTAGTTTGAATTTTTTTATTTTTCCTTTAACTTTTTTTATCACTTTTTTACATTTTTATTTATCTTGTCATCTTTTACTTTTTGTATTTTTTATAATTTTTTTAACTTATTATTTTTTTGTATAGTTATTTTCTTATTATTTTTTTATAATTATTTTTTTACTTTTTTATTTTAATTATTATTATTTATTACTTTTTTTATTTTTATTTATTTAGTTTATCAATTTTTTTAACAAGCTCCTGTGTGAAAGCATTTGGAGGTCAAAGGTTCTCTTTATTGACCCTGTCACCTCAAATACAGGAGTTCTAGCACAGCACTGTGACAGGTGAGAGTGAAAGACTGCTCTCCCCTCTCACTGTTCACGTGGAGCGGCAGGGTTAGTTTGAACCCTAGATGGACAGGCTGCAGTCTTATTACAAGTGATCTTGGCGACATCGCCAAGATCACTTGTAAACAAACAAGTGGTTTCCCCGTTCTATATTTATATATATTCGTGCAAAGCAGGGCTAAATGTAGAAAAGAAATTACCACCCGGCGCCTGGAACTACATGTCCTGGGCATCAGGAGATTTCAAACTGCTGCCGCCCCCCTGCTCTCTGCCACCCCAAGGCTGAGGCTCGGTGGCTTTGTGGGGAATCACGCCCTGACTGTGGCCCTTGACATCATCAAAGGGTCACACATAATAAATAGTGAACTCAATTCTAAGAAAGCTGGCAGAGACTGCAGACATGCAGCAGGAGGTGATCAACAACTGTGAATATTCTATAGAAGTTGTCATGCTATAGGAGACCGTCATAAACTGAAGACACATTACAGATCTCAGCTTTTAAAACCCCTTTACAAATTGTTGCTTCCACATGTGTGCTCCCTACAGCGCCCTTAAAAATAAATTTATGCAGCGTATGACATTTCTGTCAGCAAGATACATTATAAAAGATCGGAGGGGGGAAAAAATGATAAAAAGAGTAACAAAGTTGGACAGTTACCTGAAAAAAAAATGTATATTACCAATCTGACCTGCAGTGCAATAAAATACAGAGCCCTGTACAAGCATATCAAATGCTGGAAATGGTAGTCTCCTTTTATCTGAAAGCAGGGACTGTTCACACAAAAAGAACCACATATGTTATCCATAGTCTCTAACAAGCAGTTTAATATCATTCCAGGTACTCTGCTTATACGTTATTTAAAGTAAAAAGGAGGAGGCTCCGACTCCCATGATTTTTATAACATTGCTTCTGAACAAAAGAGATGCTAAGTAAAAGTAACATAGCCTATGGAGGTATGTCTCCATAGACTATGTTAACTTATATTTTGCATCCCTTCAGTTCTAAAGTTTTTTGGTTTTTTTTGTAAAATCATGAGATGATGAGAACCTTAATGCTTTAGGTGTTTAGAAATTACTGGAAACAAAAGAAAACAAGGCAACCTGTACATTACAGCATTATCTCTTTCTGCCAGTGGCCTATGATTTTGGATGGGAGATGTGACCATTTAATCAATGGTTACATTTTAGCCTTTTGATATAGTTTCATAATCTGAGAGGTTACAGTCCAACCATAGACCAAATATAACTGAGCTTGAGGCTTTGTTAAAGGAGAACTATGAGGTGAGTGCTTTTCACTCATCCTCATTGTTCTAGCCGACCTGTGACAATGAGACTGTCACAGGTCGGCTCAGTAGATCGGGAAGTGAGCGAACACATACAGGCGTTTGCTCACTTCTCGATCCTGTCACGACAGAGAGCCGTGTCACTCACAGCTCCCTGCAGGGATTCCCCCTCCCCGCTCTGATCCTCCAGCGCTGACTGGCGGAACGGACAGGGGAGGGGGCGGGTACAGCGGACTCTGCCTCTAGATAGGCTGAGCCAGCTGTCACTCACGCAGCTGGGCGGATCCAGACATAATTGCCAAGATCCGTTTCAGCTGCGGCGTATCAGTATACCGCGAGCCGCAGCTCGCGGTATACTGAGCTTTGGGTAACGCAAGGGCGCTAGTTTGTGTCCTCGTGTTACCTTTCGGAGAACTATGAGGAAAAGCCCTAACCCCATAGTTCTCCTTAAAAGTGTATACACAAAAGTCATTGTTATTTATTACAGTAATTATTTCTGTTGGATCCTGCTATTATGTACTTTCATTGTCTAGTGACTGATATTATTGCTGCCATCAATAAAGCTGCCTGAAAAGCATTGGGCACACATTGCAGTAACAATAGCAAAAATAATCATGTCTGTAGAAGGTGTCCAATGTTTCTGGATAAATCAGCAATTAGTTTGTACAGTACATCAGGGTACAAAGCTGATAATGGTCAGTTCCTATGTATTCCACAATCTCCTCAGTATTGAATTGCAGAATTTGGCTACATTGTTTAT